GAACCCGATCCCGCAGAACTTCCCTGTTGAAGACGGGCAACACTCTCAGACCGAAGGCCCTACCACAACAACAACCCAGCAAGACGCGGTCCGCGCAGTTCATCTACCGCAGCCCGCAAGGCCGTGCTGGAGGCGGGAGGTGGCGATCTCGGCGGTCGCAGTCGTAGTGAGAGATGATACTCGCTCGCCTGTAGGGGTGGGCCAGCGTGCGGAGATCAGGGCGGGGGGGGGGCGGGGGGGTGAGGGGAGGCTGTGGAGTGTGGTGGTGGACGTGTGGGTGGTAGAGGGAAAAAAGGTGAGAGGCATATCACTGCTGAACGGAGGAGGGCAGGGGGGGGGCGGAGGGGGGGGGGGGGGGGGGGGGGGGATTATTGAGCTGTAACGTCAGATGTCATCAATACCTCAAAAATGCGTTCGGACTCCGAACGCTCTCTCCGTGGTCACGTCCATATAGCCGACATGCCTGTGTTTGAAACGTTTCTATTGCCAAAAAGTCTCTTCATACTGGTACAGGTCATTAAACGCCCCTTACAAGGCGCCGAGCTCCTTGAGCTTCGCAACGAGACCGTCAACGTCCTCGACCTTGCCGCCGCCCTGGCGTTGAGGGGGCTCTGTAAAGATCCGTCAGCTCGCAGTTCCCCAGAAGAAGAAGAAAACAAAAGTCCAGATGCTGTAGCATATGAATCGGGAGGAACCCCATGCTGCCAGGTGCTCAACTCACCAGTCACCTTCAAAACCTTCAACCTCTTCTCAACACCGATTCCGTAGTCGGCCAACTTCTTCTTCTCCAGCGGCTTCTTCTTCGCCTTCATGATATTCGGCAAGCTAGCGTACCGCGGCTCATTGAGCCGCAAATCCGTCGTAATAACCATTGGCAGCTTCGCCTTGACCGTCTCTACCCCGCCATCAACCTCGCGCGTGACGCTCACACTATCACCCTCCCCAAACTCCACCACGCTCGCCGACGTAGCCTGCGGCCACCCCAGCAGACCAGCGAGCATCTGGCCCGTCTGGTTCGCATCGTCGTCGATGCTCTGCTTGCCAAGGATGACGAGGTTGGACTTGTGTTCCTCGGCGGCTTTGCGCAGCAGCTTCGCCACGCTCAGCGGCTCCAGGTCGTCGCCTTCTTTGGTCTCGACGTGGATCGCGCGGTCGGCGCCCATAGCCATGGCGGTACGCAGCACGTCGACGGCCTTGGGTGGACCGGCCGAGATGACGGTGATGTCCTCGACGCCGCCGGGCGCCCGCTTCTTCTCGCGGATGCGGACCGACTCCTCGACGGAGAGCTCGTCAAAGGGGTTCATGGAGTGTTTGACGCCGGCCGTCTCGACGCCCGTTTGGGCCTTGTTGACGCGGGGCTTGACCTAGTTTGCGAACCCATCAAAATTGTCAGTTTTGGAGCGCCATAATCACAAGCCAATTTTGCGTCTTGCTTCGGAGGTATGTGCATTTGCGTTCGGGAGTGTGGGCAGAGCTTTGTAGACGTACGGCATAGTCAATAACCCGCTTCACGGGCACGAGAATTCGGAGGGCGGACATGGTGGGATGTCTCTCTCTGCTTCTTCAATGGCCCGTTGTTGATGCGTGGAGGGGATGCTTGGGCAATCGCCGATGGGAATTGGAGGGTGGTGGGAGCTCGAGGTCTTCAATGTCCAAGGTCCGTGTCGTCACTGGGGAAAATGGGACCTCTGTTGTCAGCGATACCGGCTAACCTCGGGTCACCGCCCCACCGTAAGCCCTTTTGGGTCATTCGAGCATAGACGCCGACTGGCGGGCTTAATCCCGACGGTTCTTATTTTATATCCTTTACTTTACGTCTTGCCGTCGTTTGAGAGTATCTCGGCTTTCAAAAGCTCGCTTATTTACTGCCGTCCGCCTCGTAGAACAGTGACACCTAAAGGGGCACGAGACACCTCATGCTTGGCTCTATAGAGTCGCGAGTCCGTGCATCACATCACGATACAGCGTCTCCAATGTCGAAATAAGTGATATTGCTGTCTAAATTGATATTCTTCGACTTGCAGGCCTGCCAAAGCACGACGACCGCTCACCACTCATCACCCGCACCACTCCCACCACTTCTCCTCCCCGAACACCTCATAACGCCTACACTCACCAATCATCCCATCCGTCATTGTCCTTCTTCGCCGCAGGGGCCGCGGCACCTCCAGTCTTCTTGCCCATAGCAGACGTACCAATCGAACTGCCGCTCTGCGTCTGCCTCTGGTCCGCCAGGCTGCTAAAGCTATCCCAAAAGTCCTTTTTGCTCTCATCCAACGGCGCCTGCCTCGAGGCGCCGCCATGGCCCCCGGTGCTGGGACCGCCCTCGACGAAGCGGTTGAAGCCGTCGTGGGCGTTTCGGGCGCCCTGCTGCGCAACGCGGCCTGCGTTGGCCGCCGCTATCTGCGCTTGCTTTGCAAAGTCGGATTCGGCCAGCTACTCAAGGAGGTCGTCGGATTAGTCCGGAGTTCTTCGTTCGAGCCGGCGCGGGAGGAGATATGATCGCAGTAGAAGGGTCACCCACCTGTTTCGCTGTGGGCTGAATGTAGCCATCATTGACTGTCTTAGCCGTCTTGGAGACGGTGGTCGTGAACCAGCCGAATCCCTTGGTCAGAGCAGCCACTGGATCCCTTTGTATATCATCCACGGTCGGGATGCCGCCTTCCTTCTTCTCGGGCATGGGGCTGCTGCCGAATCCTGCGTATTTACCTCCCTGACTGGGCGGCAAGTCTTCGGGTCGGGAGGCGTTCTCGGCGCCGAGCTTGGAGAAGTATTTGTCGTCTACCTTGACCTTCCTACCGGGGCTGGCGGCACGGCTGTTCGAGCTGCCGAGAGGTGTACCTGTCCGACTGGCAGGCTTCGCCACCGGTGCTGGTGCGGGCTTCTTCTCACCGGGAACGTACTCCTTACCCTCGACCTTGGCAGAGAGCCTGTCCTTCCACTCCTCGCCAACCTCACCGCTGTATCGCTCCGCGATCGTCGCGTCGTCCCACGAGATGCCTCTCATTTTGGTGTCCTCGTGCTCTTCGAAGAAGTTGCGCCAGTTCTCGTTGCCACCCAGGCGCATCCGCTCGATCTCGACCTGCTTGAATGCGTCCATTGAAATGCTGCGTACGAAGGAAATGTGCACACCGAGACCGCGGTGGACACCGGCGCATGACAGGCAGATGAAGATGCCAAATTTGGGGGAAGCCCATTGCGGAGATGGTGCGTTGCAGTCGCAGCAGACGCTGTTCTTGGCCTCCTTTTGTATGGCGGCCAGCTATGAGGAGATATTGGGTTAGCGGCGAGCTGTGCGGTCGCAAGCGAGGCATTCGACTTGAGAAAGAACTGACCTTGGCGCGCGTCTCGGGATCAACCTCCCACATGGCCTTGGAAGCCATCGTGGGACGGGTTCAGGGCTGGAAATTGGGAATGAGCGGGAAATGCGTGGCAAAGGAGGGCGGGTTGAGGTGCTTCGAAGGTTGTCGCCGTAAGGAATTGTGGAGGGGTTCTCTCGATGCCGATAAGGGGTTTGCTGGCAGCCGACCAGGGTGCAAGAGTCTAAGCGTCTGGTCGGGTACCTCACTTTTCAGCGACTAACACTGCCCTCAAATGCGTCCATGAATTTGAGTTCCCTAGCCCAGGGAAACGGACACGTGAGCTACCAATTCTTCGGTAATACCAACCAGCCAGCATGTGCGTCAAGCAATGTCCAGGTATGACAATGTTCGACTATATGACCCGTCTTTCAAGAAGCCAAGGCAGTATTGAATCTCAAGTCCATCAGGCAACGGCTCAAAATACAAGGTAGGTAGACACGGGACGCTAACTTTATGGGGCTCTGCTGGAGACTGGACAGAACCAAAGAAAAGGCCCAGACTCTGATCCAGGGCACTTGGCTTTTGGGGCTCTGCCGCCACCCAATGGTTGTCCTCGAAACGCCAGACATGCACCACTGAAACCAACCAGAGAATCCCACTAAACAATGAAAATGCCCAGGTCCAAGGAACTCCATACTTTGTTTTGCATGACCAACTCCATGTGCAAAGCGGCACTCTGTCGTATGTTCAGACGGTTTCTGCGAACTCGAACCACATCGCACAACCTTAATATCACTTGACAACAATGGTGCACTCGTTGAACGATTTTGGTGTTGCACCGCCCTTTTTATTTTTTTTTGTTAACTGCAAAAAGCTACCCGATTTGAAACGTTTTGCGCCAAACTTTTCCTCTTCCTTCTAGGCCGCCTCCAGCTTAAGCTAATTTACAACCCAGCAGAGGGTGACGGAGAGAATGGGAGGTTAGGTAACAAGTACAGAGAGGTGGCCGGTAAGATCATGTGTATTAGCTAAGGGATGGTGGCAGCCCTGCACATCTTGCTTGGCCTATCTACCGAGAGCGAGTCTGGTCGGAAGGCAGACGTAGATGTAGTTGGCCACCTGTTTGGTGGGCACTTCCAAAAATTGAAATCGTCGTAACAGGTACCGCATCGTAAAGCTCGTTAAGGCAGCATCTCGGAATGTTGTCCGAGACACATTGCCGGGGCTGTAGGTTGATCGCCTACATTTAGGCGGTGGTGGCGGGAGCAGCGGCCGCGGTCTCCGCAGCAGCAGGAGCAGCCGCGGCGTCGGTGGCAGCCTCCTGGGTGCCGTTGGCCTTGGTCTCCTCCTTGGGGGCGTTGGCCTCCTCGTCGGTCTTGTCGGGGCTATCGATGGCGACCTTGACGGCGATCTCGCGGCCCTCAATCTCCTTGCCGTTCATCTCAGAGACAGCCTTCTGCTGAAGCTCCTCGGAAGCGAGGGTGACGAAGCCGAAACCACGACCCTTACGGGGCTCACCGCGAGCCTGAAGCTTCTTGATCATGAAGCGGGGGATGGGGCGGAGAGCGATCTTGGCGGAAGAAGGCTCGTAGGCAGCAAAGAGCTCCTTGAGCTGTTGAATCGTGTCAGTATGAGGCAACGAACACAAAATGAATCATCAAGCCATACCTTCTCCTCGGTCAGGTCGTAAGGCAGGTTGGCGACCATGACCTTGGTCTTGGAGGCAATGCCATCGGCGGGGGGGCCACGCTCGCGGCGCTCACGGGGAGCACGAGCCTCAGCAGACTCGCCGGCCTTCTGGGTCTTGGCGGCATCCTTGTTGGTGGCATCGGTCAGAGGCAGAACCTCAGAGGTAGCGGGAGCGCCGGCAGGGACCTCGGCAGCAGCGCCCTCAATGGGAGTACCATCCTCCTGTCAAATTGTCAGTTTCTCTTCAGCAACTTGGCTTTGACCTCAACTTACGTTGCGGCCACCGCGGGCACCACGGCCGCCACGACCGCGGCCACGGCCACGGCCACGACCGGAGGCGCGGCGGCGGTTACCCTCACCAGCACCCTCTCCGTTGGCACCCTCAGTCTTCTCTCCAGCTGGCTCAGGCTTGCGGGCAAGCTGAACGGAGACCTTGCGCTCGAGGATCTCCTTGCCAGAAAGCTCAGAGATAGCGCGCTCGGCCTCAGAGGGGGTGGAGAGGTCGACGAAGGCGTAGCCAACAGGTCGGTCGGTGCGAGGGTTCTTGGGAATGGAGACGGACTCGCTATGGAAAAAGGCGGGTCAGTATGAGTTGGCATGTGTGACGCAAGTGGGTGGGATTTTGCGGGGCAGGCGAGGGATGAGAGGCCACGCTGCAACATCGTGACAACTGAGAGAGGCGGTCTAGGCAGCAGGGCAGCAACGGACTCGACGCGACGCCCAATCTCGAATGCACCGTGACCCGAGTGCGAACGACACCAGCAGGTGGATAATGATGCGGTAATAGAAGCAGTGCCTTGGAGGATATTCGGATAACAGGTGCTTTGGGAAGGTACAGCTCCCTCGGGGACGAGCTTGCCACTACTGCGTATAACAGGCCCCGGGATGAAATGACGACAGATTTGGGACGACAATGAGGTCGGTGATGAAGGTGACGGCGAGGGGATTCGCGGCAACTTACACAAGGTAACCCTTGAAGAACTCCTTCAACTCCCCCTCCGTTGTCGCATAGGCCAGGTTGCCGATGTACAGACGGCGTCCCTCAGCAGCGCTGGCGAGGACGGCATCGTTGTTGGCGGCAGGCTTATCGGCGGCCTTGTCGGAGATAGTGGCATTGCTCAGAGCATTGGTAACGTCATTGACGGCTTCGGAAACCTTCTCGACGGCAGCAGACATTTTGGCGGTGTTGGTCTGTTGTAAAGAGACGGAGGCTTGTGGTGGTTGAAGCTGCGTTTCGGTGAAGTGCGTGATAACAGATGACGTGCGAACTTGGACCCGGTGACAGGAACGAAGATTCGGATTGATGGAGAATGGAAGTTCGGTGGATTTGAACTCTGAAACAATGAGGGGGAATTTTCTCAGGGTAGCTTGGTGCCCTAGAAAGCTTGAAAAAAGTTGACAGACGACGTTGCGTTGCGCGGTGACACAGGATCTTGAATTTGTGATGTGGAGGGAAAGGGGAGAGGAAAGGGATGGTTCAAGCCGCGACCTCAAATACAAATATTTTTTTTCTGGTGAGCAGGGGGAACGGGGGACGAGGGTAAGCGAGGCGCAAACCCACCAAGCAGCAGGTGCGGCCCACGTTCTAGGTACCTTGAGATGGCAAGAGCGGGCTTCTGGCTGCTGTGGCGGTGCGGAAGGCCTAGGGTGTGAGTGGGTACTTGCCTATTATGTCTGCAGCAGCCGGGCAGGGGGTATGGGGTAAGGAGAAGGGGGGACGGGGGAAGGAGGGAAGGCACGAATGGAAATGACGGCAGGGCGGCAGCTTTCCAAATGTTTCTCACCGGATGACGCGAAGGGCCTATCGTTTTGACGTGATTACAATATATTAGTTATCAACAGCATGACAGAACAGTCTCTTTGTGTGAATATGCAAAGACGATATTCGGTGCCATACCGACAAGGGAGGCAACTCCAGGAGACTTCTTTGAAGCCTGCACTGAGGTGGGATGGAGTTGTTCATTTGTTTCCTGTCGCGCCAACTTTTCATCATTCAGCCGAATCCTCAAGTAGCATGAGTGGCACCAAGAGGTAGAGCTGGCCATTCCGGGACGAAAGGTGGTCTTGCCAGTGATGAAGTGGAAGGCGGTCGGTCCCCTTACCAACCCCTGAGAGGCAAGGCGGTGGAATGCCATTCACCAAGGAAAGACCCACACGTTAGTGTTGGACATGGCAGGTACGGATGCTTGACAGGTCGACTGTTCAAGCCACAGAGCACGGGCTTTCGAGATGGGCCCGACGACAACCCCTGCTACCTAAGGCAGGAGAAGAAAGGTGCAGCTATTAGATTGCTTCTTTTTCATCTTCTTTCCTTCCCCCCCCCCCCTTTCCCTCCAAGTATCCGAAAGTACCAATAGCCCAATACCGTGGCATTCAATTTTATGCCAGACCTTATCAGCCGTGCTCATCGCCAACCGCAGCCGTGACTGGCTGGAAAAGATGCTGAGCAATACACCCATCAACAAAAAAACATGCAACTCACCCGACAAGAGACCTGTGTGATCTGCCCAGGCGGTGACAACAGCATCGGCCTATCAGGGCGATGGTATGACTCTTCCCCCGCAAAATGGTCGCGATGGGATCCCAGCCAAGCCAGGCCTGAACCGGTGCCCGCCCGCTGATGTGCGTGTTCGTGGAGCCACTGGCAGCCGAAAATGCGACAGAGATCTCGGCAGCTACGGTCTGGTCTGGTAGGTAGTCTGTCTGCCTGTCAGCGCAAAGTTTGCGGTTGCAACCATTGCGTTAGCTCACGTGCGATATTTAGTCTACAAACTTTGGGTGTCATATTTTGGCATCTTCAACTTCAACATGGCCAGGTGCTTGCCGACGAGATTTGCCCATGCCTGCCGCATCCACAATTCCTGATTGGCCGCCGGTATCCGTACTTCACTTCTCAACATCGGCAAGAGTTGCAACAATCAATGCTGCTTTCCTGGGATCCGCCTGCCAACGATTGGGAAGAGCCACCCCGCGATGCGCTACTGATCTATATTGCTGTGTGTATCTACGGCCATGTTCTCAGGTGACACATCCTTTAAGACCAGCCGGATAGGACGCTCTCGTGCAACGTCATCTCGGAGGGCTCACGGTCAATCCAATGTCGGATCCTTGCCGGCTGGTTCTAGGTATTTTGGCCGGTATCCTCATTCGCAGACCAGTTTGAAACCATCCTCGTCTGCCAGGAGTGACTTGATTCCTCTTGAGGTCAAGGCTGTGCAATGAACCCCCTTTGTCAATGATCACGACCAAACTTTCGCCCCTTCGTCACCGGACTACTTCGTACGAGAGACACAAGTCGGATATTCAAATCCCATGGTCCACTAAGACCAAGTGCCCTGTATCCGTGCGTCCACCGATTTACTTCTGTCATGCCCAAACTTGCCTCACTTTGCCCGGTTCATCTCAGCTAAAACATCGGCCAATGCAGTCTGTTCTCTAGGGCCGCTTGCACCTTGCAGTATTGGTAGTCTGCCAAATAAACTGGCCATTTTGCTACAACGAGATTTGAGCAAACGACATAGTTAGCAGTGTAATTAGACTTCGCGAAACTCAAGCCTCAGCCACAGCAAAGCAATGCAGTGGCAGCCTGCACACATGCGACGGCTGATCCGGCCGGTTCAGCATTGTGGCTCCGGCGGATGCCAATTCAGGGCCCGTCTCCCGTCCCCGGTCAACATCTTCCTCCCGTATCTATGGGACCGCGGAGAGATGCTTTGGCGCCCGGAATGATACAATTTCCCATGGCCCACTGGATCTCGCGGAGCGCATGAAGATTTTGGTGAGGGTCCCCTAGCAAGCCACGCTAAGGCTTCATGGGTCCTAACGGTCCCATGCAGGGGGGTGGCCAACAGTGCAATCAAGGGACGAGGGCAAAAGTTTCCCCTTCTCCCAGCTTCTCCTATCAGTTCCGCGCCCTCATGTCCGAAATCGATATCAATACGAGCTTGTGCCTACTCGACCAACACCAATCAGCTAGGGAATGGCTGTCACGCTTTATAGCTTAACGGGCAATTTCTCCCTCAGGAAGGTTTGAAATTGTATCGCAAAGGGCATCTGCCCGGGCAAGACAGAGGCCACCCCGTCGTCAAACCCGGGTAAGCTATTTTACTCTATGGTTGGCGATGTCAGCAGCATCCCGAATTCGCAAGGATTCGGTGAGGACTGACATGGTGCTGTCAGCAGCTCGAGGCGTGGTGAGGCGGAGACCTGAGTCGTGAAGGTTTTCCCTGGCTTTGCCTCATCTGTCCTCTCGCAGTAAGGCGCCTCAAGCTTCTCCACAGGAGCTTCTTCAGAACGGGGCGCGCTGTCACTCGCTTTGCCTCGAGAGTGACACCAGCGCCGGCCTCCCGTGTGTGAGGTGGTCCCAGGCTCCCAGCCCACCCAATCGTTACCATGCATGCAAGGCAGCACACCGCCGCATCTCAAGGGGGTCTCAGCCCACGAATCGCTGCTCTAATCCCAACGAGATTAGTGACTGCCTAGGTTCCGGCACTGGATGGCGGGCCCTGCATCTCTTCTACGGGATTCTCTGGGATTTGTGGCGCAAGCAGAAGGTACCTGAATCTTGGGAGTCGGGAGTTCGTTATCCATGCTTGTGGCTGACCGTCACACAGGCACAGGCTACACTCACAATAGCATGTGCCCCAGACAACTCCGGGCACTTGATGCCATTTCGAGGATTGTCTCGGGGCTCGACTTTGACAACCTTTGGTTCCTTTCTTTCGACTTTGACGTTTGACTGAATATCTCAAATACCTACCTGGGTAGCTCATGACTAGGCCAGGGCGATAACACGTGACTTCACAGAGCACATGCATTTTCGCGCCTTGAGAGCCCGAATGGCTCCTGCAGCTCCGATGCCGCTTGGAAGGCAAAGAAAAACGTTTCCGAGAAGCTGCACCCCCGCGCTAGCAGCATCTTCAAGAGTTACGATTTTTAAAGGTCCCACCTGGACCACACTGCTGTCGTTGACATCACAAGCGCATAGTTCTTGCCATCAACTTTCCGCAAGTGACAGGCACTCCCCGCCTTAGACTCGGCGCAAGAATATGGCCGCCAAAACTGCCGGTCCAGAGCCGGCCGTGGTGGCTGAGCTGCCCGGCCGATCCATATTGGTCCTTTACGGATCGGAGACGGGCAATGCTCAGGACATCGCCGAAGAAATCGGTCGCAACGCCCAGCGCCTGCATTTCAAGACCAAGGTTGACGAGATGAACGGGGCCCAGTTGGTAGGTTGTCTCAACTCTCTCAGGAGAAACGTACTACTGCAAATCTGTCTAGGATTGCGGTTCATTACACGCGGATCAAGTCTTCAGACAAGGTGCCTCGCACATTGCTGACTTTTCTGGCAGAGCTTGTTGCTGCAATATTCGCTGGTCGTTTTTGTCATATCAACGACGGGCCAGGGAGACATGCCCCGCAATTCTGTCGCCTTCTGGAAGAGCCTCTTGAGGAAGAAGCTACCGCCAGGCTGCCTCGGCGCGGTCAAATTCACAACCTTTGGACTTGGAGATAGCCTGTACATCAAGTATGTCTTTTGGCCCCCCGTTGTTGTTATCCCTCCGTTACTCATTAAAAGTTTCGGTCGTTGAAGTCGTTCATGATTCATGTCTGACATTTCACAGGTTTAACTGGGCTGCTAGGAAGCTGCACAAGCGGCTGGAGCAACTAGGTGCCGTGGAATGTTATCCACGAGGCGAGGCAGATGAACAAGACTCGGATGGGTAGGTTTCTGTCGACTTTCTGTTCCTTCACCTTCATCTTCCGTCCTCATTTCGGGGTTTCCTCCATTCTAGCCAGTGACAAAGTTGTTCACAGTGCTGAGAGGCAAGTTCAGCCTTGACTTTTGGAAACTTGTCCCTTTGAAGGGCATCGAGTATTTGAACATTCTTCCCAATTTGACTTTAGAAGAAATCGGTAGCGGATTTGCTAGTCGATACTTCCTCAATCCGCTGCTCGTGTGAGAACGGATGTTTTGAGAAAAGTCGTCGAACTGCTAGTGCGCTCAAAATGTTCTATATGCTCGACCTCGGCCTACGATGAGTTGCCTACCAGTTTTTCCAGGCCTTGTTCTTCAGACCTTATTAATACCCGTTTCTCTTCGCCATGTCATTTGTTACCCAGCTACCAAACAGACGATGGATAGCAGGTCCTCTCCCCCTTCTTGAGTCACTTCAGAAAAATTCCCCCTCGCTGCATTTGCTCCAGTGATCAATACTAAGACTTGAGCAGAGCGGACCAAAGATACATGCCCTGGGCGGCAGACCTGCAAAAGAGGCTACTCGAGCTGTATCCCCTTCCAGAAGGGGTCTCTCCCATCCCAGACGGCGCTCTTCTACCCCCAAGATACACAGTCGAGCTGGCCGCGAGCCCAGAGACACTACGAAATCAAACTTCTGACCACAGTCTCGGGCACAATACGAATGGACATGTGGTAGAATTCGAAGCCAGGGAGGGCCAGCCCAGCCGAACCTCTCCCAATAACTCAGAAACAACGACCGCCGTCGAGGACCTGACCCACGCGACAAATTCAATGATAATCGCCGAACCGTCGTCGAACGTAGATGAGCTCGAATTCCAAAACCAGACTCCTTCAACAACCCTCCTTCCCATTCCTGGCGGCCAGGCCGCTTCTCTCGAACTCAACGAGCGAGTGACGCTCACGACACACTTCCAGGACGTCCGTCTCGTCCGCCTCGCCCTCGAGCCTTCTCCCAACGGACCGCCCATAATAAATCCCTTTGACAGCCTAACAATCTACCCAAAGAACTTCCCCCAAGACGTCCAAAAGCTCATAGACCTCATGCAATGGACCCCCATCGCAGACCTTCCCCTATCATTTGCCTCCTCTTCCGGGGGCTCCAATCTTCCTCGTGGTCTCTTCATCAACCATGACCGGCCAACAACCCTGCGCGACCTTCTCACGCACAATCTTGACATTACCTGCACCCCCCGCCGCAGCTTCCTCAAAGAAATGTACTACTTCTCCGACGACGAATACCACAAGCAGCGCCTCCTCGAGTTCACCATGCGCGAGTACACGGACGAGTTCTTTGACTACACCACCAGGCCCCGGCGCACTATCCTCGAAGTCCTCGAGGAATTCACCTCCGTCCGGATACCCCTGAGCCGCGTCCTCGACATGTTTCCCGTCATGCGCGGCCGAGACTTCAGCATAGCCAGCATAGACCACCACCACCACCACCACCACCAGCAGTCTGGCTCCCCACCCCCTGAAGAGACGGCAACCCCAACAGGAACAAAGACGAGCATAACTCTGCTGATAGCCCTCGTCAAGTACAAAACCATTCTCCGCAAAATCCGTCAGGGCCTTTGCTCCCGCTACCTCGAGTCCCTAACCTCGCCCGGCACCCCGCTCCGCATAACCCTCAACCGCAGCTCCGCGGCCCTCCACGGGCCCGTCCACGCCCGCCGTCCCCTCTGCGCCGTCGCGACCGGCACCGGCGTCGCGCCCCTCCGCCTCTTCATCGAAGAGCGCTTCTCTCACCTTCCTTTGGGCGTGCGCGTCGGAGACACCGCCGTCTTCTTTGGCAGTCGCAGCCGAGAAGCGGATTTCCACTTCAGAGACGTCTGGGAGGACCTCAAGACAAAGTATACTCTACCTCCTTTTGCTGCTGGTGCTGCTGGTGGTACTACTGCCGACAACGCCGCCAGCACCGGACCCAAATTCGACGTCTTCACGGCCTTCTCCCGCGACAAGTCCGCCCCGCGCGAGTACGTCCAGGACGTGATCCGGCAGCAGCCGGACACCATCCGCGCCATGGCGGCCTCGGACGCCATCTTCGTCGTCTGCGGCGGCAGCCTAAAGATGTCGCGCGCCGTCAAGGAGGCCGTCAAGGAGTGCCTGCGGGGCGACGCGGCGAGGTACCCAGACGACGGGGCTGTGGAGGCTGCTTTTGCGAGGTTGACTTGGTGGGAGGAGATTTGGTAGAAGATGGGATGGGCTGGTCCTGTGGTTCTTGTCGGCGGTTGGAACCATCTTCCCATTTGATAGAGCATTGGACCATTCTGCTTCGGCCATGGGGTGTTGTTTGCAAAGTCTGGGTTCGAGTGCTTTGCATAGGTGGGCTCTCAGATGCGTACGGAGACACCCGTGCACTGGATTAGATATTGAGGTGGCCTCATTCAAGGGAGTCTCCGGTTTAGCAACGCTTAGGCTTGGACGTGGTCGTCGCATATTGGTCGTCGACTACGCTTGGAGATTGTCGTCTTGGACGGGAACTTGTCTACATCTTTCCGGCTACCCAAGGTAATCTATGCCGATTTGAAATCATGTGCTAGGTGTATGATTGGCCGTCCATGGGGTAAAGGCTGGAAGAAGGTGCATTTCTGTTCTATTGCCACTCAGTAGTATGTAGAAACCTTCTACGGGGCTTCACGCAGGGAAATCACAGTGAAGAGATGAGATCCGTCCGTTTTAGTTTGACAAATTTCTTTGTTGATTTCTGCAACACTCAAATTGAAGACTAGACTTATAGAGGCTCGTCTACATGTCGGGATATTTTCCGATTGTAGGCCAAGGAGCCTCCTTGCAAGGAGGCTCCATTTCCCCATCTTTATATCCCGCTTCCCTTGAGCAAATCGCTGATAGAACTCGCGTTCCTGTTTGAGTTTTCCTGTCGTCAATTCTGTCTTCTCCATCCTCACCCGGAAGTCAAAGCTTCCCGGATAAGTGATCTACTAAACACTTCCAAGGCCCATTTCGCCATGAGCACCTAAACGCCGGCATGTCTACATGCTGATATCCTGTGCACCCCTTTTCGGGAGACATCCTATCCCAAACTCCTTCGCTTGTTTTGATTCATTCAAAGTTGAAAAATCGGACTGTGAAAAGAAAGAGAAGAGAAGAAATAGAAATACTGCCGACCGCTGTCTCCGTGGTCGTGCATTATAAGTGGTAATGGGTAAAGATCAAGTAGGTTGAAAAAGTGGCGGGGTTCCTCGTCAGTTCTCCCAACTGTAGCGCCGCTCTGCCATTTGAGGAATGTGAATGAATTCGGAGCCGTCGAGGCGTTGCAGACAAGAGTTCGGTTCCGCTTGTTGACTCCTTCCATCCTCTGGTAGGCTTACTTGTCTCATCAAGTCTTGGGCCATCAGTTCCTCTTCGAATTCGGTCCAGTTGCTTCCCAAGGTATCGGTTGAAAGTCGATGTATCGTCAACGCATCGGGGACGACTAGGCTGGTCATTTGAGTGTACGCAAGCGGAGGGGGAATCGCCCCGGTTTCTGGAAGGGACACGTTCTCTGGCAAAGGGCCCAAGCAGACGATATTCGATGGGTCGATCGGTGCCCTTTGATAAGTTGAAGGGGGCGTAGAAGGAAGGGCGAATAGGGGAACGGCTAGCGGCATAGGTGAGAAGGCGGAACGGTTTGCCGTGAACGCCTCGCTCTCGGGGGACACAGGCTGAGGCAGTGTGTTACCGGGGCTGCTGACTGTGAAGGTTGGCGACGGGTATGACGGTCCTTCTGTCAGGGGTGATGGAAGATCAGATAGGCCGTTCGTCCACTCTCCGACACGGGGGCTCATTGGCGACGGCAATGAACCATGTGTCGATGAGGAGTTCTCGCACACTGTTGGAGATGAAGGTGGAGAGGCAGACGCCGGAGACGAAGCAGTCAGCAGCCCAAACTCTTCAGGCCTGAAAGTTGCGACAGGGCTCATGTGCTGCATCGGCTTCTCCACGGGAGGGAAGTCGGCCGGGTTCTCTGGTGGGGAGTACGCAGGAACGGGGCCCTGCAGCTGAAATTCCACCTTCCTTCTCGCCAGGTCGTATGCGCTCACATTTTGCGTGTCTTCTGTACCAAGTCCAGTGTGCTCATGAACCGACTTGTTGTCATCGCCGTCCAGCTCGATCGGACCTATCGGTGCTGGTAGCTCGTACACTGCATGGTTAGCATCAGCCGCAACCTCTACCGGCTGGGCCGTGCTACCCATAACTTCGTGTGTCGATACGTGCTGAGCCTTCTTTTTGCCACGTATTTTTGTGAAGAACTTGGCCATGGGGCTTCTCGGAGGTTCTGGCATGATGGACGACGCTGCATCTTTCCCATCTTCCAACGATCTTGCCGCCTCCTGCGTCTTCTTCTGGCGGCGGCGATGACAAAAGAAACAAGCAAGCATGATCAGGCAAGCGGCTATCACGCCTGCTGCAATACCACCCATTTGCGCCGTCGAAAGACCGGTATTAGAGTTCACCTGGGCCGGCGGTGGAAATGGGCTATTACTTGGCTGCGCAATGCTCTTTAGCTGGAACGATTGCAAAGGCTCATCCGGGAACAGGGCTTGGTGAATAGAGAAGACACCCGTGTCGTACTTGGTCATCAAGTAAGCCTCCTGGAGGAATGACCTTCCAATGATGAACGTGTTGGTCAAGTTGGACGCTCTTCGGAGAGGAAAGTAAGGCACCGAGGGTTCGCCGTATTTGATTGTCTCGCTCTGAAATGGATATCGCAATACTTGCGCAAAGGCTGCAGCTGTGATTGTGATGTTGACCACGCCTGGCACGGTGAGAGGGTGGCCAAAGTCATCGCTATTGTCGTGGCTAGAAAAGGAAAAAGTGAACGAGTAGGAAGAGGCGCCGGCCATAAAGTCGGCATACTGTTCGTCGGTGAGAGTGTATAGGTTGAAGGTGTTGTTGTAAGTCAGGTTGAAGGCGCTAGCAAATTCATCGCAAATAGTGTCAGGGAGCCAAAGAAAGGGGGTCGAGCTGTCGATCATGGCACTGAAAGACGTTGACATGTTGGACAAAATCTTCGTCTTGGTATCCCAGCCGCTCGGCATTCCCTTGCCTTGAGGCACAGTAACTTCAACACCACGAACCATGGCATGAGGCAGACCGTCGCTGGGATCCAGAGAAAACTCGTTGTTATGCGGGACAAAACGGCTTGCGTCGTAGCCTCCCAAAGTCACAGAGCACGGTGTGCCAGATATGCCCTCTGTAAGAATCAGATCGTGCTCCGCATCAAGGTGTAATTTTCACTTACTGTAGTAGGCGCCGGCAGTGTAGCCGTAGCTATAACTAGGAATCAATCCATAATTCTTGACCGCCTGCGTTAGGGGTGACTCGGCAACTTGGTCGCCAAAACTTCCTTTGGTGATGCCGAGTCCGAGATATCCAAGATAGTAGTCGGTGCTGTTGATTGATGCGGTTACAATGTTGTCCATGCTCATTCTATTCCCAGTCAAAAGCGTGGATGAAAGCTTATCCAGTCCATAGTCGCCGTTGCCCCCGTAGCCAAGATAATCAAGACCAAGCTGCCATGCGCCCAGCGGATTCCAGGATTTCGAGTCGGCACTAGTGAAAACATTGCCTCTGGCGCTATTGCAGAGGGGCTCGTCTTGATGAGATGTCAGCTCTGACATGTCTGGGCCAGGTCGTGTGGGCATCTCGAGGTTGAAAGAATGGCAGCTGGAGAACTTACTTGCAAGACAGCCACCGGCCCCAATCGCCCAGAATTCGGACAAGGACGTGCTCGCAAGAACATTGACAGACTGCCCAGGCGTGCCGACTTGGAACTTCACCGTTGACCAGTTGCCATCCACGCCGTACCTTGATTCAGTTAGAGGTGAGAGTGCAGGCGGAGATGTGGGGGGTTCTCTCTGCGTACCAGTCGGTTGAAGGGGTAAGAGCCACGGCGGATTGGCTTTGTGCGCGAATGACGCCAGCGAGCACCGTTGCGACGAAGATTTTTGGAAGCATGTCGTCGATTTTCAGGCGGAATCCGGTAGGCGGTTCATTCGAGGTGCGCCGAGTCACCAAGGCGTCTTTGCGATGTGCATGGGCGTCCCGAAGGAAGGCTGGCCGAGAGAAGGGGCGTCTCCATCAACCAGAGCTGTCGTCAAGCCGTATTTACGATTCGCTTCGTGTACGCCGCTCTTCGGTCCCAGTGCCTCACGGATTCCAAGGCTAGGGATTCGTGTTGAATGAGTGATCAGCCGTGAAGAGCAAGAGAAGTTCGGAGGAGAAGAGGGGGAGCAACAGGCAATTGAACTCGGCGGGATGATCAACAAGAAAAACTAACTTCTGCCATTCATTGGATTGAGTGGGTGGCAGCCGAAGCAAGAAAGCGTCCATGGTCATCCGAGCAAGGACAAGCCACGCTCTACCGACTACGGCCAAGGGTTGTGCCGCAACAAGCAAGGGAAAGCCGGAAGGCCAAATAGCACGACGAGGGGTGAGACAAGGACCAGGCCCCCGTCCAGCACCGGTCTGGTGGTCCCGTCGTTCTTGGGAAAGCTGGGGACCAGTGTACAAAGCAGGCATCCCCTGTCTCCTTATCGAGACACAGTGCTTTTGCCTGCTTTAGGAAAAGTGCAAAGTGCGGCAGAGTAATGACAAGCCCTCCCTTCTCAGCGTGGCGCTGCCGCCATCACCCGCCGTCGCGCCTCATCGACAACCATGTGTCCGCCCCGCAGATGGATCGAGACCTCCCGCCGACCAGAATCACCAGAAGGAGTGGCCGACGGGGCCTAATGATGTTGCCGTCGCAGGCGGGGCCTTTCGACACGGTAGCGTATTATGCTTGTGACATGGGAGGAGTGGAGGAAGTTGACTGGCTCTGGAGGCGACGGAGAGAGGCTCCATGAGGACATCTAGTTAGCCGGTGAGCAGGGAGGATTGTGATTAGACGCGGTAGGCGAGGAGAGCGGAACCTCGTCCGTTGATTCTAGGAGAGATTCGAGACACTCGACGACTCGCTCTTCAGCCCGGAAGAAGAGGGTGGACGCCTCCCGTCTGTTGGCAAATGGCATGTCGCTTGGTAAGACAGGCATCAATCGAGTCCACCGATTCCGAGATGGACTCTCTTTAAGGTTTGGCCATTTCTGTAGCGGAATCCTCAGCCGGTGCTGAAGAAGCATGTAAAGTGGGCGGTCAGCTGGTGACTGCCTCCAAAGGCTACGGCACTCTGCCCGCGGTTAAGGATTCCATGTGAGGTAAGGTACATTGAAGGCACGGGAAAGCCACTAGTTGGTCCACAGTTGACCTTTGCAATGTCTGGACCTTCTTTGTCTCTATCCGCAGTGTTGCCTCTCGAGATGCGACAGAGTAGTGGCAGTCGGGACGGCCGAGCGACGTGCAAGTCAGACAAAGACAGGCTAGATGATTGAGAGGGTAGCAATCTTGATAGTCGTTGAAGGGTTTCGATGTCAGCCCCTGGTATGTGACCAGTCACATATATCAACTCGCCTGATTAGCGAAACAGAAGGCTACAGGTTGATGACACAACCTTGAAGAAAACGCAGCCTGATGATACAGCGGACGAGGGAATGTCGCCGACAATGCCGTTGGGAATCGGTCGCCAATGTATGGTTCGACGTTTTTTGTCAACCTGCCTTGCAAGATTGTGTCTTGTCCCGTCAACTGGCGGTGGTGATATTGCCAAGGCCGTGGGGGCAAGAATGGGGGGTTCAGGAGCTGAAGGTCCGAGGCGAGGTAGTCCCTGGACTCTCCCGCCGGATCTTGCCCCCGTTGGTCTTCAAGTGGTCGACAGGCGCGAGAATGCAATGTACACGACTTGGGATGCCTGAGAAAGTACGGCCGGCTGTGGCGGGGAGGAAACGGGAAGACGGGGGGACGGGATGGAAACAGCGGCCCATGGGCTTCCACGCGAGTTCCAACTTCCAGCTTTTGTTCTTTCCAAATCCCAAACAGCGCCTGCTCAACCTCAAGACGGAAGGAATGGTTGAGCTGTGAACTCGATAAGGTAGGCAAGGTAGGTAAGGTACTGACTGACCTCAGGCACCGGCAGTCCGGCACACACACGCAGCTGTTACCCCCCGTCACCACACTTGGCATTTGGCCGGAGTCTCCGTCTCTCTGTCTTCTCGTCTCTACATCTCTTCGTCTCTCCCGAGCCCTATCCTTCTTCGTGCACATTTACTACTTAGCCATCGGTCATCCACTAAAACTAATAAGACGCTATTTTCTCAACGGCACCGGTGAGTCGACGGACAGGCCGCCATCGGCATCTTGCGAATCACAGTTGAGGTGGAGACGAGTGCCGGCAGTCGAATGCAACTGCATCTCCACTGTTTCCCCCTCCTCCTCCTCCTCCTCCTCCTCCTCCTCCCAAGTCCCAAGATGCGGCCTGCGAGACTGGGCATGCAGGCAGCGTGACCAGGACCACGGTTGCGGCCACACGTCGTCGCAACAACTGCAGATCACAGTTCCGCCAAGACGGCTTGGCTTCAACCCCAATGTGACGTACGCCAACTCATGGACGGGCCCTCAATGCGCTTTTCCAATTCGATTGCCCGCCAGCGCCGTCAATCATGCTTCTGCGCATTCATTGCCCAAGATCCGCGCCACAGCTAAACAAGGACCCTATGTTTTATCACGCCGCTTCTATGCCCGTCACCAGGGATACTTCAATTCTGGATTTACCTGCTTTTCGTGGCATCGGATCGAGAGGCAGACTTTGTGCTTCACTTCATTCCACCGTCATCATCATCGCCGCCGTCGTCGTCGCCGCCGTCGTCGTCATCGTCGTCGTCGACTCGTCTCTTGCGTCTTGACTCTACTAGTGTTGAGCAAGCGGTCCTCCCAGAGACCTTCTTAGGACTGACAGCGTCGACAACGGCGATACTCACTGCCGGTTTGGGCGAACGCGCGCGCGTGTGATTTTCATGTTCAAGCTCCACTTCCCGTCGATAACTTCAAACCTAGAGAAATCAATCGGCTTCCTCGGACCTCACTTCTTAGTTCTCACTCGCCGCCAAATTGAGTTATAATGAAAGCTGTAGTCTATATATTATAGCCAAGAACCGCGCGAAAGAGAGATCAACAAAACAAGGTTTTCACTCTCAACGTTCGAATTTCATCAACATGATACATCCCATCAGTCTAGCCAGGCACAGAACCTACAATACCAAATGCACAGCCTGGCGACATGGAGGGCGCTAGCGAAAAGCAACCAGCGAGAGGGTGCCGCGGAACTCAAGAAAGAGGCTGTTTGTTATTAGCAAGCCTGTCGCTCAGGCCTCCGTCGGCGCGGGGCCTCCATCTCGCGGCACATCCTCGACTGCCATCCCCCTGGACTGGAGCCTCCGTCAGCCACGACGCCGTGATTGCATCTGCACATGTCAACGACTTACCCGTGGTGGTTGAAGTACCAGTTTCCGTGCCAATCCTCCGTGTCTCTGTCACCCGTGAACGTGCAGGCTTCATTTCATAGAACGAATCGCAGAGGCCAAGTTTCGACGTCCCTGACTCGTGAGTCTGTGCTTGATGCAGGCTGTCGTGGGCAACGTCCAATTAATCACTGCCATGTCACAGAAGTGTCCTGTTACAACGCCATGGCTCGGCGATTCTCGACTGCATCAAAGTATCCGTGCCTTGGCTCGTCATATTGGCTGCATGCCGCTGAAAAGCGCGACGCGATACATTGAAAAGAAGTCAAACCGCGTCTGTCTGGCACAACGTACCTTGTCGCTGCTGCACCGTGGTCTGATGTCGGTCTTCACCGCAGCTGTCAGATGCACGTCGGAAATGGCGAGAAGCTTTTCGAACCCTGGCGCCTGCTAACCAACTGCCTCCACGCGCAGCGGTGCGCTGAACATGGAGGCCGATTACGGACGATTTATTCGTCATTTCGCATAAGGCAGAATTGGATGGTATCATCCAATCTCTCTGCAAATGCTGAGCGTAGACAATGCGCTAGGTCCACCATGATAGACCTGGGCTGACCCTGCTCGTCTTAGAAGTGACGAAGTTTGGCACCACACCGAGACCTTGAAAGCAGTGCTCAGGATCCAAATCAACAGAGTGGCAGGGATTCAACTCCTTTGATCCAGAGTACCACAAGCAGGACCAATTGCCCAGTTACATGGCGCATGCCAACCGCCTTTCGATCAGCCCTACGCTCCGTATCTGTCTACATACGTACGTAGCGTCGAAGAGCAGTGGTCTTGGGCCAGCTGCTGCTACATTAGACGGGACATAGAGCAGACCTGCGACGCCAGTATTGCGATACTTGCCAGCATTTCGGGCAGTCATTCTCACCCGGCTGATCTGAAAGGCCGAGCCTATCCAAAGTCTGAACCTCTTTGAAGACGCACATACAATTCGAAGGCCTGCATATCCTAGACATGGCACTCCGCACATTTAGACGCACATCTCCCGGACGCAAGGCGGTCGCACCCGAGCACACTAAGGTAGACTTCGGCGCAAGCGGGCCACAACAAATTGTCTCAACCCACCGTCATCGTCGACAACTGTCCGAAGTGGCTCTCGGAATGAGGACAACGCAAAAAGCTACTTGGACTACCAACCAATCTTTATACGGATACAGAGTATAAGCTTAGCCTTTCAAGTACTAGCTGAAAACGCATAGAGGACTGAGTTTCTCGGTGTGCCTGGGCGATCATAACGGGTGCCTTGGACAGAATATCGATCAGTTCTCGCTTTCGAGAACCAAGTAGTTTGCCAACGATTCTTCGTACGCAGTAATCATTAGTCAAGAAGCAGTTCTCTAGAATGTTGATGTTCGTCACTGTGTTCACAAAGTCACAAGTCATCCATTGATCGCAAGCCCAAGTGCCTCACAGAGCAAATCTGCTTGGCGGGCCCCTGCCTTCGACGCCGTCCCGATTGTCTTAGACATTTCTAGCTCATGGCCAGCGCTGGCAGTCCCGCCGCCGCTACCAGCTAATGCTCGGTGCCACTATGTCGAGTCAGCCCCTTGTCCTTGAAAGGTAGGTCTTGGTGAAATGAGATGGCTCCCGTCACTGCTACACTACATCAGTGGCACCTACGAAGCCGGGAAGCTAAGGTGCAATGGTTTCCTAACTAGCTGGTTGGCACACGTCGGCGCACCCACGTTACGGTCCGAAGACAGCAGAGGATATGAACTCCTTCTACGCCCTCATCGCCGCCGCCGCCCGGGTTCAATGGCCGTTCCTCCTTGCTCCATTGCCCGAGAAACCCTTTCCATCTCAGACTTTGCAATGAGTCTGGCAGTCATACGTGACCACCCAAGAACCACGAGTACATGGTTGTCGTCTTCGCGCCAATTCGTGTGTTGCGGTTACGAATAGAGTTGAACGGCAAAGTGGGCAAGGATGCTTGGGAGAAGGAGGGAGTGCGATTCGAACCGGCGCCTTGATATGAAACTCCTCAAACTCCTCAAACTGTTGTTGTTTTCCCTGGCGGCATTCTCCAACCCAGTCCAAGCTTTTGAGATTGGTGAGTTGAAGTGACACCTCAAAGACTCGAGAACTGACTATTTAGCAGCAAATCACATTCCTCACAGTAGGAGACAGGCTGCCGGCTTCAATAGTACGACATCATCGGCCGCAACAAGCTCTGCGTCGCAGAGTCCCTTGTCACCTATCATCTCATTCACCCAAGCGGGAAACCCGTTGACTAATACAGTTGCGACGGATACTCTTCCATCTGTCTCAATCAGCCAGCCAGCAAGAGCACCAGAGTCTCAAAGCTTATCAGGGATCTTCTCAACAACAGGAGAGTCAGGGACAGGCGGCTCATTTTCGACAACATCAGACGACACCAGTTCGCAGATCTCAGCCGCTGAAAGCACACTGACACTAGCCAATGGCACAAGTCGAACCATAGCCATTGTCACCACGGCAGACGCGTCGACAGTGGGTTTCAACGTTGCGGCCTCCAGGAATCAAACTAGTACTGTGTTCCTGTTGTCTCTATCGGCAACTGCCACAAGTATCAGATCTCTCTTTCCTACCAGCAACATTTCAATATCCGCGTCACCCAGCGGGAACTACACGAACGGGAACTACAGCGGCTCTCCCACAAGTGTACCCAACTCGGACAACGGCGATGGAGATTATGTGACTTTGACACTCAAGAGTGGTTACGAGCCTCACGTTGTCTGCATATCGACCACAGAAGGTGCTGTACCGACAACTTGGTCCATCCTATACACGACAACGACGACAATTTACGGAGATGCAACAGATTACACCCCACCGGAACCGGACATCACAGTCCCTGTCACATGCAGTCCTGCGGGCCTGGCAGGAGGCAAGGGAAAGACACGGGTGTCTGCGAGTGGTTCGTGTACCTCGGTGGATGGTGAGGACATTTGCACGAGCGAAGTGCCTCAGTTCTCAACCTTGAGTTCAAGCCTTGGTCCAGAAACGACGTTCACTTTTGTCACCACGGCCAAGAACCCTTTCGTCATCTTCTCGCCTATCAGCACACCCCTATACGGTCACGATCCTGAGACAAGAGCCCCACAAGACAAGCACTCATCCGCGAAACCCACAGCAAAGCCCATACCGAAACCGACGGACCCGATTCAGTCGCCCACCAACGATCAGAAACCATCAGGTTTGCCTGACTCGCCACGTGAAAGTGCCAAGGAACCGCCAAAGGCAACCTACATGATTACCGTAGCGCCGACCGAGATCATCATCAACGACCAAACTTTCACGCAGAATGACCCCTCAGAGACTACCAAGGTGACGGTGAGCGGCAATGATTTCACAATCAACCCGAGCGAGGTCATTGGCGGCGGGACCATTGTTGATCGGCCCGGCAACGTCGGCCGAAGCACCATGGTCTCATCCAGCACGGTGGTTGGCGGCTTGCCTGTAGTGATTGCGCCCGCAGGAACGCAAAACGTCGTCGTCGTCGGTGGGACGACGTTTGGGGTACAGGCTACGCCCATAACAGTGGTAGTGGAAGGCCAGACAATCACCATCGAGCCGTCCGCGATCATTCTTCCGGGGCAAAACATTGCAAGCGGCGGCGCTGCCCCGGTATCGACGGTGGTAAAAGGGCAGACCATCACCCTTGTGGCATCATCGGCCGGTGTTCCGGTGCAAATCGGATCACCGGGCCGCACTGCTCCAGTAACGACCGTGATCGATGGCCAGAAGACGACAATCCAGCCCTCCGCGCAGGCTGTCCCCAAACAAACCGTTTCGATCAGCCACGCGTCCCCGGTCCAAACGGAGATTGTTGTGGCAGGCGGCGAGATGATCACCGCCATTGGTCCATCTGTCGTGGTCATCCGGTCGACGACGTTTACGCACGGACTAGTTCCAACCACCATCACGAAGATTGTAGACGACGATACTATTTTGATAGGACCCTCGGGGGTCTCTGTGCGCAATATCACCGTGGGAGGGCCACGGGCAAAGGCAATGGACACTACCTACGAGATTGTGGGCGGTGCTTCAGTCACTCAAGTTGGGGCATCGGTTGTGGTTGTAGACGGCACAAGCTTCACGGTCGGGCCAGGCAAGGGAACGACGACAAAGGTGTTTGGCGGCGAGACCATCACAATTGGTCCATCCGGCGTGGTCGTTTCAACGATGAGTCTCCCGTACCCCTTTGGCCCAACGGTGATTACGACTATCGACGTGCCTTCAACGGCGGCGGCGCCGTCGCCGGTGCCGTCTGAGACGAAGAAGAATAGCGGTGATGTCATTAGGCCGGCGAAGGCATTGACAGGGTTATATCTTGAGGTTTGCATAACGATCGGCGTCTGGGTTCTTGGGCACACGTTTTGAGACACACCAGGGACATGACATGTGCATGTGTGTACTGGCGTTGAGCGGTTCTCCTTCTTTTGGTACATTACAAAATAGGGCATAATAGGGAAAGCGAGGCATAGATAGATTTGGGAATGAGGCTCTGCAACGGAGGGAAAGGGCTAAAGTTTGACATGTTCAAAGGGGAAAAGGAGTAATGATCGATGGCGCGATACGCAGGGAACGGCACAGACGGAACGGAACATGGGGGTTCTGATGCAGTGCAACCCTGTCATCAACGACGCCGACGACCTGTATCATTATAATTTGCAACGTAAATATAATCCATGCTACCTTCGAAGAGGGAAACAAGCAAGGCCCTCCACCTCCAGCAAAGCCGGCGGGCGATGCAACACACACAGCCTTCCGCGTGTTACGGATACAGAAACCCAAACCCCCCCACCCCTCCCACCACCCTGCGCCGATGGGGGGCCGCCTCCGTCGGCGCCGAGGGGATTTTGATAGACAGATTGGGTGCCGACGAAGTAAAATTCCGACGCGCATAGGATCATCCCATCTCTCGTCCCGCCAAATCTGGGATGGAAACCTAGAAAAAGGGGCACGGGTGATATGATTGGTGCCTCGAATCCATGGGCCATGGCTATGAGTTTGGGGCTGAAGGCCGGAGGGTTCAGATGATACACTTGCGCGAGTCGAGGTCGGATGACACATGGTGTGGTAAGAAAGAGCCTCATTCTTTTCGGATCGTCGAGCACGGCGGCGCGTATACTATGGTACTGTGTACACGGTGTGAATGTTGCTTCTAGCGAGGTGGATCTGGATCTGGATCTGGACGTGGACGGGGTTGACGGGGAAGAGGAGTGGAGGAACCGAGGGGGTTAGAAGTCAGGGGTCGGGTTCGGATTCCCACGTGGGTAAAAAGTACTTGCCGTACAGACGTCACGGTTCCCTTGTCTCGGGGATGACAATGGCGGCGGCTTCTTTGACCGGCGAACCCCTGGGAACCGGGGCATCGCAACGGCGTCACTTTGCTCCCCAAAAGATGGCATCCACATCATTCTCAGCCTTGGTGACCACCCCTGTGTCTCTCTTTTCGTTCTTTGAGGTAGGTGTTCTCGTTCTTTCAGCCTTGGACGTGTAGGCGGCATGGGGGGTTACAGGTTGAGCAAGCGTGTGGTTATATGGGATAGGGATCTTGATATAACACATTTCTGCCCCTCGCCTGCCCCTCGTCTCCCCTATATCTGCGCGCCCGCGCATTCCCGCGCGCGTCCGTCACGGGGAGAGGAACCTCAAGGCTGAATTATTCGGTGGATGGCTGAAACTACAACCTGGTCTTTCGCCTAGCCAGCCTGCCCATTGCCAGTCCAGTCACGCTTGCAAGAAACGTACAGAACGGGAAGGGCAGCTATCCAAACGAGTCTCGGGACGCGAGAGCACGGGGCCACAGACGTGAGATATATCTCCACGATGATCTATTCACGAACCTACGCATGTGGGGTTGGGGGTTTCGAACCCCAAGACGTACATACGCACTCGGAGTCTTGGAAGCTATGCACCCACATGCTTTGGTGGATTCGGGCTTGTTGATGATGGTTCCATGTATATTGGACACTTTCTCGGCCCCTTTCTTGATGGAGTTCTTGTTTTATCCCACATTGGATTTTCTTGCTTTTGGAGTGGGTGCGTCGCTGAGCCGTGGGTTGGACATTTCTTTTCCATCTGTCTTTTGTGTCGAATGCTACGGTATTTGCCCACTTCTCTCCTTTGACGATGGTTGGCTTGAGGAGTGAGGGCTAGTAAGGCTCCAGGTGGACTAGGGATGTGGCAGGAAGGTAAGATGGTGAGACGTTCTAGAAATTCTTTTCTTGGACGGTGTTATACACGAGAGGGTATGTTTTATAGCAGATACCAGCTTGGACCCTTTCCGATTATGTGACCGCGTGATTCCTTTCACCCGCTACACTTCCGGTCATGTGACATTTTAAAGCGTACTATTGTGCTATGAGACGGGGAATGCTGTGAGGACTGATATATGCCTAATTTCCGAGGTTTAGGGTAGATGATCTGTCTCGGGGTACTGGGGTCCGGGGTACCGGACTTTTGAAGGCGGGGAGGTTCGGGCCGGGGATGAAGACGGCGGACAGTGTGCCATTGGTGGTTCGATGCTGTATACGGTTTAGAACTGGACGAGATCGGATTGAGGACGGTCCAGTTTTCGTCGTTTGGAATGGATACATTTGATTTTCCATACCTGAACCTCCGTTTTTTTTTTTTGCGATCTATCTGGGCTAGGCTGAGAACTAAAAACCAGAATTCATTGAGGGGGGATGAACAACAGACGCGGACATCCTCTTCTTGCATCTGCTCTTCGTCTTTGGCCACATCTTCCTTTCGAGGTCACGAAGAGGCAACGCATCCTGAGGATGCTCACGGAAACTCTGCATCAACAACAGAAGTCTTGGGTCTTTCATTCTCATTCAATGTATACTTTATAGTTCATCTTCAATAGTCTGATGGCGGTGGTGACTGATGAAGGGAAGCATGCTGGTGATTCTCAGCGGCGTAAGGGTTAAGAACGGCGTCAGGGCCTTATAGCACCCACTCAGTGACGTATCAGCAACTCTCTGTGTCCTTGATTCCCATTCTATTGTCGCTGGAATAGTTCCTGGTCCTCGAACTGTAGCTGCTCGATGCTGGAACCCTGCTGGTGGTTTCTTCAGTCTAGCGAAGCGTCTCCATGTCCAACGTACTTTGCAATGGGGATGTGAAACAAGTTGATTTGTCTCCAAGCGTAGTATTGAACCTCAGAGATAGTAGAATAAGACAATCTGAGAAATGAGGTTTGGTGTTAGCACTATGAACAAGATATTTAGTGCCAGTCTGTGTTCGAGCGTCCATACTCGAAGCAGGTGGTCTCAGACGTTTGGAAAGAGCGAAAAATCAATGTTTGAATAATAGCTAGCTGATGGGAAAACTAGTCGCCGGTGCTGAGTCCCAGACCTGCTCCGCAGAGCTAGTTCGTCATGATTGACTTACACCCCATGAGCCACCATATATGATTATACCTATTAAAAAGCTCGGATTCCTTCCGCTCTCTTACAAGTAACTTAATAAAGGTTGGTTTGTTTAAAAGAGCGGGATCAACTGATTTACCTAGCGAAACGGTCCGATGCCGCTATCATGCTCGGAAATGGCGGTTACATTCAAGAGTGAGAGGGCACAAATACCGACACTCTCCCTCAACGGACAACTGGTGAAGTATCGTCGACTTGACATTGCCTGAGACCAGACCGGTAACTCCGATAGGGATGTCCGAAAAGGCGGAGAAGGTTGCCCGAACACCTCCGGGCGGGACCGGCGGGCATGTTCCATACCCACGGCAGGTTAAATTGAAAAAAACATCTCCCCTGGACGGACCCCATTGCACCAGAGCCGTGCGTCGAGTATGATAACCTTGTCGCTGTGATCAAGAAGCCAGACTTTACAACTCTCAGACTTAACCTCATGGTGGGCGGGCAGGAAAATAATGACTACCTCGTTTTCCGTACCGGGCGCCTGAGTCAAGCTTTGGAGGCGGACTTGCGACACTTCACCCTTGAGACTGATTAAGACAGCAATCTCGAACAGGGGCCATCTCCTTCACATTGGAGGAGGGATCACTTCATCCCTTCGCGATCCATCTTCCCTGTCGAAACATGGAAGAATTTGGCGCATTTTGGGCTCACAGGCTTTTCCGTTGAGCAGTCAGACTTGCTCGACTTCCCCGCCCCACTCCCGCAAACCATACGTTCCGTGGAGCTAAGGTTTCTCTGGTTTACGAAAGATAATGGCAACTAAAGGGAGCTGCTCTTTAGGATTCGTGATAAGCTGGGCTGGCAGAAGCTAACCACGAGACCTCATCTGCTCTTTTGAGATCAATTAGTACCCCGTTAGCTGAGCGGGCCGTTTGGCTGGAGGATTCGTTGCAAAGGTTTCTATACAATGACGGCGAGAATCCGTATTCACTACCTACAAGGCTTGTCATGAATGCCGCGGCGGGTCGTCCTGTGACTTGGGCTCCTGTGGCTTTGACCGTAGGTCATAAATTTGGAAAGGAGAAGAACGGATTGGAGCCGAGGCTTGAACAACCCTTTCAGCCAGAGGCTTAGCTTATTGAAATGGGGATTCTCAGGAATTGGAGGGCGGAGTTGTAGATAGTGGACAGGGTCGTATCAGCAGGACGTCGGCAGAACGCAACCGACTGAACATGAGAGTTACGTGCGCTGTGTGGGCACACGAGAGAGTTTTGCCTGCAGCTTGATAATCAAAGAGTTTCGTAGTCAATCTGCCGCTGGCTCTTGACTTAATATGCGGATTCAAGAATTGTATTTACTAAAGGTAAATAGTAAAATCAAAATCTAGGTAGGTGGCGTATACTCTTCGGAGGAACTATTGAAATATAAAGCTGGCATCGAGCGAAGAATGCTAACGGAAATCTTTTGAATGCCTTTACATCACACGTCACCCAGTAAAAGGTCTTGTGAGTCATAAAGGCAAGTGACAAGGGTCGATTGGTTAGCCCCTCCATCATCCATCATCGCTGACTACTTTAAAAAAATTATTGTAATTGGAGACCATGCCCGACTATGCAGGTGTTGGAGTGGCGATTTCCATCGGAGAGCTGGTTTCAATAGCAGTTAATGGCGAGGGCTGATTATCGTCGCTGCCCAGGGAGAAACCATCGGCTTCGGTTGAGACGCAATAAAATTTTCCGATACCCAAACTCGAGCAGTGGCTCTTAGCGAGTAGATCAAAGGCGACGAATTATTCGATAGTCAAGCCGATTCTATCGGAGACTACTACACACAACACGCCGGACTTTGGCGCGTGCCATGTGGTGCAGTTGGCGATCTCGCCGGCTGCGCCGGCAGTCGGTGGTGCCGTGGTCAATATCAGAGCTGCAGTAAAATAATGGTTATAAGTCGACCTTGTTTTTTTGGCTGAAAGATAGTTTGTTAGTCTCTTTCTCACAGGACTCACGTATTATAAGGGATCCCTAAGCAACGCACTGAAAAGCTACTTGCTTACAAAATGCGGAGGTACCTATACAACTTTAGTGGTTGTAGAGATTCTCACAAAGAGACGCATTCCAGCGAATAAATTCCTGTAAATAGCATTAGACAATCCCAAAAGTTAAAGTCCGTGTCGTTCTACTCACTTGGGACAAGTCATTAACCATAGTTAATACCCACCAGTCGGCCACGACCGTGTCGATGATATTATCTGACTCAGTATAACTGCTGTATACATCAGCAAAATTTATCAAAAGCCCTCGGTGCCAGTCTCAATAATAGTCTTACTACCTTACTAGCAGTCAAGCCGCCTTCCCTTAGCAACCCCAATTACCGGCTCTTTGGAAATGTACTAAGCAAAACAATCCTCAATAAACGGCAAATCCGTAGTCAGCATTTATATGAACTCTTTAGTAGTCGTCGGCGGGAGGTATCCAGGGTACGTCGGAATGGACCCGTCAAGTCAAACGCAGCAGTAGTAATCCGCCCAGACGTTTGTCCAGTTTTCTCCGACTTGAGGGTTAAGAAACAAGCCAAGCATTTCAAAGTGTACGTCAAACGTCTCTCACCCATAGGGTTGACGATTTTACTTCCCCCCACTTCCACGCCCACTCCCACTCACCGACTGAAACAATATTGAAGGTCCTCGACGACAAATCATTTTAAACAATACTGTTCCTTTTTTCGGTTTCATTTTTTTCTACGTGGCTATACTATTTACAGTACTTGTTTGCTCTCTTTTCTTAGTAGAGGAAATTATTTAGTCACCATGAGGGACCACTCCATTGAAATACCGCCCAATCATAACATATATGACTCAATATACGGTAAAACTCTTTCGACATTGAATACCTTAACGTGGGCTTCCATAGCCGGATTTTTTTCCCCTTGTTTAGGAAGCGGCTTGTTCATACCCTGACCAAGTCTCGTATCAGGTCCAGATTGCCCGCCACAGACGGTTTAGGCAGTTGCTGGGGAGCGAGCCGAGTGACCATGATAATGTCACGAAATATGGCCTAGTATCAGCACAGACGAAGTCGTCTGCTACGTGCTTTCTCACATGTCTCTCACTATCACGCAGTATACAGACTTGATCTTTTCCTTTGTTCACTTTGGAGTAATTCGAACCACTTTCTACCCACTTCGTATGCCCATTGCTGTGTGCTCTAACTTGTGACAGATGATTTCCGCAGAGGGCGGTCTCTCTACTATGGCAACTGAAGTCGCATCAATTCTGTTGTTCTTCACTTTCCTCTTTCTGCTTGATTCCCTCGTGCTGCTGGGTTTCCTTGATCTGCTGAGTTTCCTTGATCTGCTGAGTTTCCTCGATCTGCTGGGTTCCGTCGATCTGCTTGGCTGCCGCTTCCGCCTTCTGAGCAAGTAGCATGGCACGACAACGTCGGGCGTTCTCGAAGTTCCTGGCGTCTTTGTCTCTTGTATGATGCGCAACTAGTCCGATGGTGTGTGGATCATCCGCTTTCCCATTTTTTTTCACCAATCTCATAACAGCATCATATTCCTTATCTGTCATAGAATCCTCCATTTTCAGATGCTGAGACGGCGCGCAACGCTAACCAATACAACTTTCTGTTTCCCCGTGGCACGGCTTCTGATTATGGAGAATTGTATCTTATCGTAGGTTCGTTTTATGTTTGTTCAAGCTCGGGTACTGAGCTGAGCCGTTGAAATTCAATTCTGGCGTGGGTTGTCGTGGTTGTAATCCCAGTGTTTGGATAGCCGGCAGCTCTTTGTGTAGGTGATTCGAGGCTAGGAGTTTCGTTCTTATTGGGGAGGATGTATAACGAAAGACGAGGAGGACGAGGTCGGACATCGGGCTTTATAGCCGGTAGGCTCATGATCTGGAAGCTCGCAGCAAGGTATCGTGGGTGAGGGACTGAAAGGGGGCGAATTGCTGTCGGTAAGCAGGACTTGGATTGCAGTGACTGGACCGTCAAGACAGTCCATGAACAGTGACAGAAGGAGTCTTCAAAGAGAATTAAGAGAGACAGGAGGGGTGAGTGGCCCCTTCAAGGGTAGCACTCGAAATTTATTGCGTCGTTTTAGTTTGGAGTTTACGTTGGGGAACTTTGGTTGTTCACGAGACGATGAATCTTCGCCCAGTCAAAACCGGCAAACGCAAATCCTCTTTCTCTCGGCATCGCCAACGAGTCCTTGGGTTACACAAAGTCGGCTGAAATGCTGGTAAGGCGTCTAGGCAAATGTTTGTGGTAAGCCTTCGGAATGCCGCAAACTGATATACTGTTGGTTTACGTAATCACAGGGTGATTTGTTCGATCGAACCGTGGTGACGAAGGGTCAATTACTCTTGAATTAATCTCTGCGTGAAGTGGAAAAGAGAGGTTCTGACCGTTAGTTAGATCGCCGGTCAAACGCTAATATAAAGACCCTCAGATGGCCCTTGCGCTAGCGCTAACTTAAGGTCGAATTAGGCTTTTAATCCGACACTAACTATCTCTCTTTTATTATTAAACTCATACGATTAAAAAGGTAATTTAATAATCTTATAATAATATATAATACGTCGATAAAAGTAGTATTTATAGTTCTTTTTTTGTTTCTTTTTTAAACCTTTTCCGTATAACTTATTTTTTTATATATATTATAATTATTCTGTTATTAATAAATCGTTCTAAGCTTAGGTTTGGGTTCTATTTAATAAAAACGTTTATTAAATTATTTTTATTATTAATTTAATAAATCTCGAAAATCTTACGTTATTTATACAATTATTGTAAAACTATAATATTTATTATTAACTTTTTTTTTAATAATATTTAATTTAATAAAGTATTTATATAATAAATAAGAATCTATATAAACAATTATTAATATCGTAAATAAAATTAATCGATTTATAATCTATTTAAATATAATAAAAATCATATAAATAAAGTCGACGCCGTTAACTATTTTATAAATCTTAAAAACTAAAACGCTTTTAGTTACTCTTTTATTTTTAATTAATAAATAATAAATAATATTATCGTATATTATAAATTAATCGTCTCTTATAGCCTCGTTTATTTAAAATAATAATATATCCAAATTAAAAAGTTAAATCTATATTATTTATAAATTATCTATTAATAAAAATATAAAACTTAATAAATATTAAATTTAATAAAAATAAATTAGCCCGCGATTTAAATTTATTACTTACTAATTTAACTATTTATTTAGTATATATTACGACTTAATACGTATTACTAGACCAGGGCCCTGCCCTATAAGACCTACAGCGGCTATTATACTATATATATAATAATAAAAACCTAGACGGCCACTTTTAAAACGGAAAAACTATAGATAAGTTATATAACTACGATCGTATAATAAAATAAAAAATAAACGTTTATAAATAAATAAAACGGACGATTATAAAAATATAAAACGGACGACTATTTAATAAATAGTTAGATAATAATAAATAAGATATTATAAAAGATATATTTATAATTAAGATTTATATATAAAATAGCCCGAGTTAGGTTTAAAAATAGACTTTTATAGCTTTTTTAATAATTAATTTCGTATTAGATTTTATAATTATTTTTAACTATTTTTATTAAAAACTTATTTAATAAGATTATAATTAATTACCGAAATTTTATTTACTTTACGATTTATAAATAATAGTTTTTTTAAAGTTATTTTTATAATAATTATTATTTACGAATATTATAACCTTAACTTTTATTAATATAAATTTTATTATAATTAACCGATCATAATATTTTAATTATTTTTATTTAATAAGTCGACTTTATAAAAACTTATTAAATAGTACGAACGATATTTATTAAATTCTTTTTTAATAAAAGTAAAAAACCTTAAGTTTTAAACGTTAAGCTAGCCTAAGCTAAAAGAGATATAAAAATACTTAATATTAAATATAATTTTAATAAGGACACGGTCTTTAATAAAATAATATATATTTAAATATATCGCGTCGTTAATTAAAATATTTAATATAATAAAAAATTAACAGACCTCTTTAATATTATTATTACTTAATTAACGAAAACTTAAATTAAAAACGATCGTAATATTACCGAGATATAAAAAATATTTAACGTTATATTTAAAAGATTTAAGAACGAATATTAAAAGGTTTTAAATTTCGCTAACTAAATAAATACGTTTAAAAGTGCTATTAATATTATTATTACCCCTCTTAATAAAGGATAATAAAAGCTTAAATTTAATATACTTATTATTTTTAATAAGACCCTTAGAACCTTAAAAGGATTTTTAATTTAAATTAAGAATTTTTAAAATTTTTATTAAAAAGATTTTAATAATAAAATTAAGAAAGTCGTATATACTGTTAGCTTTTTTAAAAAACGAGCTTTTAAATAGTTCGAACCTTTTTAAAAAAAATATTTTAAAAAAGAAACTTTTAATAAATATTTTATTAAAATACGAGATATTTATTATAATTTCGATAAATTTAAAAAAGTTTTTAAATCGTTTTTTTAAAATTTAAATAAAAAACGATAAGCCGAGCGTAATATATTATAATTCTGATAAATTAAATTAATAAAGGACTATTTAATTAAGTTTAGACGCCTTAATATTTAACTTAATTTTATTAATAATATTAAAATTTTTATATTTTATTAAGAATTAAAAAATAAGGTTAAGGACGAACTTATTAAAATTAATAAATTAAATAATTTTTTTTAATATATTAAACTCGTAATTAAAATCGATAACCGTTTTTATAAAAAAAAAAAGGAAAGAAAAGAATAATAATAAGAACTTAACTTAGGACGTAAATATTAATAATAATTTTAATATAATTTTAATTAAAGATACTATTATAACGGGAATAATAATCCTTAATAAATTATTATTTATAAATAATATAGTAAATTTATAAACTTTAATATAGCGAAATAAGATTAATTTTATTAAAAAAAAGAATTTAAATATTATAATTACGATAAGTTAAGATATATAGCTAGAGATTATAAATAGCTTAAATAAATTTAATAACGACCTATTTTTAAAAAATAAATTAATATTATTTTTAAAAAAGTACTTTATAAATTATTTTTTTAGACTATATATTACGACGATAACTACTTTACTTATTAAAATAATAAAAAATAATTAAAATAGTATTTTAAAAAACTTTTTAATAGGACCTTTATTATAATAAATAAATAAGAAGTAGTTTAACATCTTAAGACTATTAAAGATTATAATAAAAAGTATATTTAAATATTATTAATAATATACAAAATAATTAAGATATAACTTATTAACTTTCTTAACTAAGCGTAAACTTTTATAATAATAAAAAATAAATTTAAAAAAAAGATAATAATTAAAAATAAGGACGACTTATTTTAATTAAAAAACAAGATTTTAGTTTATAAAATATAGATTTTAAATAAATTTATTTATATAATACGACGAATATTTAATAAAATAATTTAATATTACGAATATCGTTTTTTAACAATAAAAGATTATAACGAAAATTATATTTATATATTAACTAGCTATTATAAAATTAACTAATTATTAAAAAAAAAGCGACTAGATATAAAAGTAATATTCGTTTTATTTTAATAATAATTTTAAAAACGATTAAAAATTAAAATAAAAAAAGACTTTTTTTAATTAAAATATAAAATCGATAAAAAAATAGATATTATATATTTAATATACGGACTTTAAATATTAAAAGAACGTTATTATTAATATATTAAAAAACTAAGTAAGGCTTATTATACGATAAACGCTTATATTTTTTAATATCCGATTATAAAAATAGTTTTTATTATTTTAAAATAATAAATATATAAATAATTTAAAATAATAATAAAAAACGATATACTCCGCTTAAAATAAAACTTTTTTATATTTAAAGAAAATATTAAATTAAATAACTTAAATAAAAAAACTACCGATAATATATTTACGGAATTTAATACCGAAGGACTAGATTACGACCTTTTTTTAAATAATATCGATATATTAAATTATGAATAATTAATAAGCTAATAATTATTTTATAATTTAAACAAACTTTACGATGTTGCTCGACGACGTATTTAATTAAAAATCGATTATAAAATATTATTTAATATTAACGATTTTATTATTAAAAAGGAAGCCGATTTAGATAAATAGTTAAAATAATAAGAATTTATAAACTTTTAAAAAAAATTAAATTAGCTTATTAAAGATTTAAAAGATTATTTATATAACCGATATATTCTAAATATATAATTTAATATTAAAATATTTAGAAATTACGAATTGTTTTTTAAAAAGAAAAAATTTATTAACAAAGAAATAAACAATATTTACGATATTATTAACGTATTATATTTACTTATTAAAAAATAAAAACGTCCTAATTTAATAATTAATTATAAACGGTTTATAAAAAAAGGACGAGTATTAGCTTTTAAAATATTAAAAAACTAAATACGTTAATTATAAAAAAATAACGAAAAGCGGCTAAAATAAATAAATTTTTATATTTTATAATACTTTTTAATAAGG